ATAAAAAATATCATCTAATCACTTAGGCAGCAGCCAGGAGTTCGTAGGTAACTGTTATGATTTACATTTGGAGTCCCCAAAACTCACATGTGAGGCAATGCAAGAAGGTTTAGAAGGGATATTATTGGGTTATTGCCTTAAACTAATCAGTGAATTGATCCCTGATGGGAGATAGGTGAGATGTGGCTGGAGGAAGTGCTCCACTGGGGGCATGGCTCTTGGGTATATATTTTGTATCTAGAGAGTGGAGAGTTTCTCTCTCTCTCTCTCTCTCTCTCTCTCTCTCTCTCTCTCTCTCTGATTTCTGATCACCATGTGAGCTGCTTCCCTCTGCCACACTCTTCTGCTATGATGTTCTGTCTCACCTCGGACCCTGAAGAATGAAACTGAGAACTCTGAAGCCATAAGTTCTCAAATAAAGTTTTCCTCCCCTAAAATTGTTCTGATCAGATCTTTTGGACACAGTGGTGAAAAAGCTGAATAACACAGTATGGTTATGTAAATGGCATGAAAGGAAGAAGAATCTAGGTTGACTCTCAAATGGCAATGCAATGATGTGTGTGGACAGTTGGTACCAATAACCAACATTGAGACTGCAGGAATTAGAAAATATTTTAAAGAAAAAATGACTTAGCTTGTTTTAAAACATTGATGTATGAGAATGTTTTGATTATGTCCTTTTTGAAATGTTTAATGTACATTTAGAAATCTAATGTTAGAAATTATAACAATAGCCCAAATTAAAATACAAATCTGGGAACAATTTATATGCTGTGAGATTCAATGAGTTCAGGAGAGAAACTGTACAAGGTGAAGTGAAAATAAGGCTGGGGAGAGAATTTAGATAATCCTTAAACTAGGGAGAGCTTAACTAAGTAGAGCTTAACTATTCTCTTAAAAGTCCTTACTAATTTTTTGCAAGACCAATCCTACTGGTCTCATCATTAAGCAAGAGACTGGGATCTTCTAAGAATCAAGAACTATGTAAATAGGAAGTGTCAGGAATAAGAGTGAGATTGAGAGTTTTAGGGGAAGTGAGGCATAAAGTAATAAAAAACACAAACATGGTTGTCAGTGATATGGCCATTAGGAAGTTGTTGGTGATGGTCAGAAAATGCCACTTAGTGGAATGACAGAATCAGTCAAATAATAATCGATTACAAATGGATAGAAAATGGGGACATGGAACCAGAGTTATGCTTAACTAGGAATCAAGGAGCAAAGAGTATTGTTATGTACCTACAGGGCATGGAGTGCCCAAGAACATTTGTATTTGTTTATTTATTTTTAGAAAGGATGGAATTTGGATATATTAACCTGATCACACTCTCTAACCTGACAGGCTGCCCCAAGCTATTGGGTGCATGAATCATATGTTAAGGAGAAGTCTCACAGATCCTGAAGGTGTTAGGAATTTGTCTCACACACTCCAGATGAAAGAGCTTCCCACAGGTGTAATCAATTCACCTGTGTGATTTACTTTTTCAGTCCAGCAAAAAGTCACTTCCTGGCTGATGTTTTATGGCACCATGTGCTTTCAGGGGAAGTATGCATGACATACCTTTGTCACCCAGAAATTCCAGGGACAGTACTGTCAGGGAGTGTGAAACCTCACTAGGAAGATAGATGGGCATAATTTGATTGTTTGCATAACCAACACCACAGGGAATAATTTTGTTAATAATCTACTAATCAATGTGTCCTTTCCCCCTGCTGCTAGTTAGGGATAGCATAGGACCTTTGGGCTTTTCTGTTCATTTTAAAATTTGAAATTTCACTGCTCCTTCAAAGAAAATTTTAAATAAAGTGTTTTTTTAAAATCATTTTTCTCCATTAATAACTTTCCTTACAAAGGATATTCTTACGGAGGAGGTTGACCCGTTCCTACCATTGCCAGCCAGACACTCTGGGCACATTCTATTTGCAAGGCCTCAGAATTGGGAGTACACACCTCTTAAAAGTCTTTACTAATTTTTTGCAAGACCAATCCTACAGAACAAAGCTATAATTTTCCATGGGAATTTCTAAACATATGTGCAAAATCTCTACAGGTTTTACCTTTCTTATATACTGTTGCTAAACAGGCATCAGCTTTACATAAGTAAATTGTTCCCTTGGGCAGCATGCTCACAGAAGTGCCACAGATTTTTCCTTCTCCATTTTTTTCTTCTGATCTTTCCCTCAATTCACCTTTTCTCAGCATAGTGAGGGAAGGGGCTGAGATCAGAAAGCCAGAAAGTGGCAGGATTCTTCCTCCATCACTGTCTTCAGCCATTACATAACTACAGTGTGATTCTGAAATCCCACCACCATGAGCAAATCTTGGCCCCTCCAGTTACTAGCTGTGTGTTTCCTAGTTCAAGCTCCTTGGCTATGAAATTATAGTAAGGGTCCTGTGAACTCATGGGATGCTGTGAACTTTACCTGAGAGAAATGCAGGTGAACTACTGGTGGCATTCATGGTATAACTAAGTAGGGCTTAACTATTCTCATTTTTAAAAGAATAATAAAGGTAACTATTTAACTCATTTAAAGAATTTACTAATATTATAAATTACTGGAAAGTGACAGTTATAATTGAAAAAAGAACTTCAAAATATACTAGATAGCTATAATAATCAATACAGCATGGTATTGGGATAAAACAGACTCCAAAGATCAATAGAGAGCCCAGGAGTCATTCCTCACAGCTACAGCCAACTGATTTTCAATGCTAAGAACTTGCATTGGAGAAAGGACAATATTTTAAATAAAGAGGACTGGGAAAATTGGATATCTGTATGCAAAAGGATGAAACTAGACCCTATTTTTTATCAGCTACAAAAATGAAATTAAATTCATTTAAAGACTTAAATGTAAGGCCCAAAATTATCAAACTTCAAGAAGAAAACATGGGGAAAACATTTTAGGGAAGTGGAATAGGCAAGAATTTTTTTGGATAAGACCTCAAAAGCACAAGATCCACAATGCAAAATAGATAAATGGGATTACATCAAGCTAAAATGTTCCTGCGCAGCAAAGGGAATTAGAGTGAAGAGACAGCCTATAGAATAGAAGAATATACTTGCAAATTTGCAATTTGACTATATATTTGAAAAGATATTAATATCTAGAATATATAAGGAACCCAGATAACTAAATAGAAAAAAAACTGATTAAAAATTTGGCAATAGATACAAATAGACATTTCTAAAGAGAAGATATACAAATTACCAACATGTATGTGATAAAATGCTCTACATCACTAGTCATATGGAAAATGCAAATCAAAACCACAATGAGACACTACACTTCAGTAAGAATGGCTATCGTCAAAAAGACAAAAGATAATAAGAGGACATGGAGAAAAGGGAAACCCTTGTACACTGGCATTGGGAATGTAAAGACAGGAAACAGGAGATATTGGCAATTCTGGCTTTCTTTTCCCCAAGTAAAATAAGCTTCCTAAAGGTACCATGAGACTTCTTGGCAGCACCATTCCTTAATGTCACCTCACTGTAGGAGAAGTGGGAGAAGTTATTTATTTTTCTACCTTCTCAAGTAGAGATGCCAAAAGAAAATAGGAGTGAAGCTGTTGAGTTACTGAATAATGTTTGATATGCCATTATCAAGGAACTGCTTATTCTAAAGTCTACAGGTTAAGCTCAATAAAGCTTTTACCTTGTCTAATCTTTGCTTTCCTTAAAAAAATGTCCTTTACAAAATCTTTTTTGTATATGCTTGAGTAATATTAGGTCACTCAACCTTGCTTCCTAAAAGAAATATATATGACTTCCTCTAGTACTAGATTGATACTAGGTATAGAATCATTTTGTTTGTTGTTATTGTATTTATCTAGGCTAAGAACATTCCCTTTGGTGGCAAGTCTTTATTGCTTAAACTATGATGGTTTGGCATTCCTGAATCCATAAATAAATTATTTTATAGGTGGAGTGGCAAAGTATCTCTAGTTGTTATAAATCCTTAACCTAATGACTGTTAATAATTTCCCAAACATTTTGGAGGATTCCAAATTTCAACACATAGCATTTATTTTTCTCCGATTTTTATGAAACTTATTAGATCATTAAAACTATTTAATGATATTCATTTCATGGGGAAAAGTTGAAGTAACACATTTGCCCCCATCTCACCTTTTCTCACAAGTTGACCATCTTTGCAAAGTTACTGCCTAATATTAATATATTTTAGAAGCATTGTCTCTTTATCAATGGGATACCAAGGGTAGAATACTCAGGCTGTTCAGTCCCAGGGTCGTACACCAAGAAATGCCTTGTTTGTAGATATTTTAAAGTCAGCAATAAAACTAAAAATCTGCCTGCTCTTTATTACAGACAAGGTAAATGATAACATATCCTCTGCCAGAGCAAACCACCATGACTCCACCTCACCACTTTTAGTATTCACCACTTCATAACTTAATTATCACCTTCCAAATAAATTAATAGCTTAATGTTCTAAGGAGCAAACATTGTCTGGAATATTTTATATGGCAGAACATTCCGTTTTTCTTTTCCTAGTGTTAGCACTTTAATTACAGTCATGGCATTACAACTTGATTAAAAACAAAAAGAGAAAAGAGAAATGAACAGTGTTTGAACTACAAATTCAAATTGAGCATACAGACAAAACTGTAACCAAAGTCAAACTTGACTATTCAAAAAATTTCTGCTTTTAAATCCCTTCCTCAAAGAAAAAGAAATCCTCAAATTCAAATTACGTATATTATAGTTCTTACTTCAAAGTGAGTATCCTGAACTTAGTATTTCTATGTTGGCTTTGAGCTACAGATGGAGTACAGCAGAAAGGAGCAGCATTAGGAAAAGCATTTCCATTTGAAGAATTGAACATGAATTTGGTTGTATAATAATGTGAAATACAAATGTCCATTGCTCACTAGCATGCTACTCTTTGTTTTTCCTGGATATTGAATTTTAAAAGAAAATAAAATATGAAGAGATAAATTACTCAAATTCACTGTGATTCCTTATTTTTTCTAGGTATTTTTGGACAGAAACTAGAAGACACTATCCGCTACGAGAAGAGATATGGGAACCGTCTGGCTCCAATGCTGGTGGAGCAGTGCGTGGACTTTATCCGACAAAGGGGGCTGAAAGAAGAGGGTCTCTTCCGCCTGCCAGGCCAAGCTAATCTTGTCAAGGAGCTCCAGGATGCCTTCGATTGTGGAGAGAAACCATCTTTTGACAGGTACGTGTCAAGGTTGTACAAACCGTCCTTCATTGAGAAATTAGGCTGCCCTGAAAGGATGCACTAAGCTATAGCATAACTTCAATTGGTGTGGTAAGAATTTAAAAGATGAATTATTTGGTCACACAGTTTGGATTGCTTATTATTAAGTTACAAAGTAAAAAAAAAAATGTGCCACTTTAGATGTCTTTCTCTTCCACATATTTTTTTCTCCTTCTTAAAACATTATTATTTGTTCTTTTCCTTTGGTCCTAAACTAAAGCTAAATGAAACTTTTCCTTTTGAAAAAGTGAACTCATAAAACAGGACTCCTCTCTTGTTTGGTGTTTTCATTTAATTCTTCCAGTTAAGGGATGTTAAAAGAACTGATAAGTAGAGGTTAGGTTGTTGGCAATGTAACTGAAAATAACTATTTTTAATGAAGGTATAAACAGATGTTTTAAAATAAATGTGTTAATCTAGTATGGATTAAGAAGGAAACTAGGAGAAGTAAAGCATGGTGAAACTCCCAAAATAATGGAAATTCTAAAAAAGAAAATAAAAAGCATCCCTAACTCCAAAAGTTAACAGTCAATCCTTTAAATATTTTATGATTTACCTCCTTCTCTTTTCTTTTAAAATTTTAGTAGAAAAAAAGATTTTCAACTAACATTATTAAACATTATATAGCAGAATTTTTTCCATATTAAAAGTTTTAAATGCCCTTTAATTCTAATATATTTTTACTTAACATTTTATCAGTAGCAACTTATATAAGCCTCTTTTTCTAAAATCAAATATTTTACTCTACAGGTATATTATTTATAACAACTTCAATATTAATGGACATTTACTTGTGACTTTTTTCACTATTATAAATATTATTGTAGGAGATATACAATCACATAAGTATTTTCAATTTTTATGTTGTTTACTTAGGAGAGATTCTCAGTTTAGCATTTTGTGGGTAGGAATAATCTTTATACTCAAAAGTTAGAAATTGCCTACTGTCACAATCCATTCAGTCTGCTCTACTAAAATGCCACAAACAGAGTGACTTATAAATACCAGAAGTTCATTTCTTACAGTTGTGGAGGCTAGAATGTTCAGACATACCAGCAAATGATATGTCTGCTGAGGGCCTCCTGTCTGCCCCATAAATGACACCTTCTCTCTAAATCTTCAGATGGTAGAAGGGATAAGGTAGCTCTGTGGAGTCTCTTGGATAATGTCACTAGTACCATTCGTGAAGGCTCTACCATCAAGATTAAATCACCTAGAAATTCCCACTTCCTAATATCATCAGGATGATGATAAGTTTCCAACACATGCATTTATATAGAAGAAATGTTCAGACCACAGCACCACACTAAATATTACTTATCTTAAAAAGTGTAGAATTAGGATGTGAATAGATACTGCTCAACAGTATAGATAAGCAAGAAGATATTTGAAAACATGAGATGAAGGAAGCATCACTATAAGTGTAGAATCTCCCTAATAAGCCAAGAAATGTTCATTAAACATGTAATACCCTTTTACTGGTTTCATTAACAAAGTTCTAAATAATGACAATACTTGGTGCTGACAAGATACGCACTTGAGGTAGACACCCGAATGGCAAGAATCCAAATTTGTTTATCTTTCTAAAATAATTTGATAATTCAAAGACCTTTTAAGCAGGAAATTCCATTTCTAGAAAAAAATAAGATATGTGAAGGAAAACTTGAGTGCAAAATTGTTTATGACAATTTTGATAATAACAGAAATTGACAACCCATTTATTTTCTCCCAAAGTGAGTACAGTTAATTCATTAATGGTGAATTTATATAATAAAGTATCACATACTTAAAGTTTTAGAAAAATGTGAATTAAATGATGTGTTAGGTTTTTATTACTATGACAAAATTCTGGAGGAAACCAACCTATAAAGAGGGAAAGTTTTTTTTGGTTCACAGTTTTGCCAGTTTCAATCCATCATCAGTTGGTCTATTGTTTTATGGCTCATGGTAAAGCAGTACATTATGGTGGGGGTGTGTGTGACAAAGAAAAGTCACTCACTTCCTGGAAGGGCCACAAAAGAGAAGAGGAAGAGACTGTAGTTCCACTATCCCCATCAAAGATATGCCTACATGACTGGAAGACCTCCCCATAGGCTCCACCTTTTAAAATTTCCAACCCTCCCAGGAGTACTAAGCTGATATAACTAAGGCTTTAACACACTAACCTTTGGGAAACACTTAAAATCCAAATTATAGCCCACAATGATAAATTAAAAAATAAGACAAGATCAGTAATTAGTTAAAATACCTTATCTTTTTAGAAAAACATTAGAGATTGCTTTTTTTTTTAAGAGAGAATTTTTTAATATTTATTTTTAGTTCTCGGCGGACACAACATCTTTGTTTGTATGTGGTGCTGAGGATCGAACCTGGGCCGCACGCATGCCAGGCGATCGTGCTACCGCTTGAGCCACATCCCCAGCCCTAGAGATTGCTTTTTAAAATTCATAAATTTCCTCTGAAAGAAAAAAAAATGTGAAGATTAAAAAACTGAATTCAAAACTAACATCAGAGAACAAATTTCAAGACTAAGATATCCTTCATGCAGAGGAGCCACATGTCTTACTTTATATTTTGAAAAAGAAAAACAAATCAGCAGTACTTACTTGAGGACTGTCCACAACAAATAAACCATGAGTTATCTAGGGTGAATAAATTTCTAGTACTAACGTTAGAAAGAAATCTGTCACTAGCATCTTCAGAATAGAGAATAGGATAGGATAGGATATATAGCATCCTCTACAATGAACCTCATGAGATATTAAGTTTCAGTATCCTTTTAAAATGTTTATATGTGGACTACATTCATGCAGGTAAAATGATAGAAAAGCACATTAATTAGAAACTTAATTTGGGCTGAGGTTGTGGTTCAGTGGTAAATTGCTTGCCTAGCAAGTGTGAGACACTGGGTTCGATTCTCAGCACCACAAATAAATAAATGAATAAAATAAAGCTCCATACACATCTAAAAACAAATTTTAAAAAATCTTATTTTGCCATGGGATTTTATTATTCGGTTCTTAAATTTTTTTTTTCTAATATAGGAGAATGGAGGGATATTTTATGTGTTTCAGGGATTGTATAAAAATAGATGTGCCCTATAAGAAATTATCTCAAAAGTCAACGTTCTGGTAACTATTGGATGACAATGAAATATTGAGATCTTTATTTAAAATGTGATCCTAATTATGTATGTATGTATTTTTGTGTAAAATGCCTCATGTACTAACAGAAGAAAATATAACAACAGACTTGTATCGCCAGGAGAAATGTGTGAGGTGATGGGTCTTTCCAAGTTTTAATGAGGGGTTTTACAGTCAACACATCATTAGGTGCCTACCTTTAAGTCACGTTTTACTGATAACACCACTTTTTTTTTCCTGTGGACATATCTTACTTTGAGAATTTTTTACAAACTGGAGTTATTATCCTAGGGCCACTATAGTTTTAATAAATTCTTCAAAATGAAGCAGTTCTTTCTTCAGCTCATCTCTCTTACACTACTCTATCATATGCAAGTCAAAGAAGCCTATTAGTGCATTTGGCATTTGGCCTGAAAACCTCCTCAGCCAAAGTCACAAGTTCATCAGGAATGTATTCCATGTTCCAAGTTACAGTAGTCACTAATCTCACTCATTTTTTAGTACTTTTGAAAAAGCAAATATCTTTTTCTAGCTTAGAATATCATTTTCTTCACTGTTCTTCCAACTCTTACTTTACCAACTGTCTCTACTCTGTGTGGTTCCAATGTCAATACTTGTATTTTTAGATTTTTGTTGCAACAACACCCAGTTTCTGGTAGGAATGACTGCTTCGGGTATCTTTTGCAGCAGAGAAAATCACTTGGAGTTCTTTCGATTTCAATCACACTGATCCTTTTGGATCCTGCTTTGTGGCGATGCATGGCAGAGATACCCTGTCTCTGTTCCATGTGATATTGTTTGCAGAGGTTTCGTGCAGCTCAGTATCCTAGAGAGCTTTGCACATTAGTCTGGTGCTAAGGTAGATCAGCTAGAATGTCTGATGGCTGGTTAGACTCTGCTTTCTCTTTGCAGTCTTTTATCTTTGGCTTCTCCACCTGTTATCCAATTGTTGGAGATGTTTCTGTGGCAGCTTAGGACTTAAGGCAGCAATAATTAAAGTACAAGAACTATTAGGGACTAGGTCTAGAACTGGCAAAATGTCACATCTACTGAGTACTCTTGATCAAAGGCAAATCACAAGACCAGCCCAGATTTAAAAAGTAGAAAGTTAACTTTACTTCTCAGTAGAATTCGTGTGATGGATATACAAAGATGATATAAATTCATAGTCATATTTGGAGACAATCTATTTTATTCATTCCTCACTCAACAAATAACAATAACAATGGAGTGTTTTCTGTGTCAGACACTGCTCCTTGTGAATAGGACAGACAAGGTCCATTCTGTTGTGGGTTTTTCATTATTAGTGGTGGGCAGATAACCAATAAATAGTGAATACAGAAATAATTTTATAGCATGATGAGGGTGACATGCTCATGTAGTAGTGAGAGAAGCAGTGGAGAGACTCATCTCCTTCCTGACGATGTAACACTTGAGTTCAGACTTGAGTGACAAGCAGCCTGCCATACCTCAGATATAGTGGAGGCACTTTCCAGGTAGAAAAAGAGCAAATGCAAAGGCCTAGGGACAGGCACAGCCTCACTTATTCCAAGATCATAAAGAAAGCCATCGTGACAGGAGCACAGTGAGTGATGACCAATGTACACACAGGTGAGCTGGAAATGTTTGATTCTGTGTGGTCCACAAACTATCGCAAGATTTTTAGTTTTTTTTTTTTAAGTGAAATGGTCATCTATTAAAAGATGCTGAGCAAGTAAATGAAAAAAACATTTATTTACATATTTAAAAAACGTCACTCTTGCTGGGCATGGTCCGCACAACTGTAATCCCAGCACCTTGAGAGGCTGAGACAGG